TCTTTTTCTGCTATAAGCTCATACTCTTATTCAAACGGCTCCTTAGCTTCGAGCTGCTCCTCTGCTTCAAGTTCCTCCTCGGCTAAAAGCTCTTTGTGATGTTCCAAGTCTGTTGTGCTAGGCATGATCATATTACATTATTTTAAAAATTAAAAGATTTAATTTATGTGTGTGTTAACTCATCGAACACATTTAATTTAGTAATTATGTACTGCAGTTACATATTTTATAGTGACAAAGAAATAACAATTTCATTTACTCTATCGTATATCAAACAAATTTTAATTCTAACCGGTTCAACCTAGTAATATGCATTTTCTAGACTATTTTCATCAAAATTTTCTTTTGTCACATGCATTAGAATATATTTATCATATTAAAATATAATTTTGAAGTAACATATATCTATTATTCGCTATATCTTGTTCATACACATGTGTTATCCCGCGCGATTATATCTAAATCATCAAATAACAGTTTCCATAAATCTAGGACTTACCAATATTAAAAAAGATACGATGTCTACAACATAATCTTTTTGGTACGATTTAAATTCTTTTGTAGTAATTTTTTAATAAATTTTGTTTTTGTGAAAAATTGAATTATTAAAATAATTATTATTTCATTTGAGAATTTTTGAGAAATACCCTTTTGGTGTACCCCTTTTAAAAAATACCCCTCTTTTCTATCCATTTTCAAAAATACCCTTTCCGAATATGAATAACTATAAACTTTTATATGGTTGATAAGGTACATCAAGATCATCATTACTACTGGGACTCTAAATACAAATATTTATAACGTTCTAAAAGGTTCTAAACGGCATTTATAAGGGTTTTATAAGGTTTTTAAAAGGTTTACAAAGTTTTTATAAGGTTTTTAAATAATTTTTAAAAGGTTTTTAAAAGGTATTTATACAGTACACACATATAAAGATAATTTGTGTCTATAAAAAATATAAGCTTACACATATTTTTTAGACAAATTTCAAATTTTATAGTGACTTTTTTTTATAAAATTCGAAAGAGGGGTATTTTTAAAAAGTGGTATTCGAAAAGGGGTATTTTTGAAATTCTCCCATTATATTATTAAGATTTTAAAAATGTTTTTGCTAATAGATTAAATAAGAGAAATTTATGGACAATGAAATTAGGGAATTTTTTCTGAATTAATTGTTCATTGGTTAATATGTGTAATTGATTTATTTTTTCCATATTTAGGGAGAAATGGTTACAGCAACAAGTGTTAATTTCACAAGATAACCCTGCTCTAGAACGAAGTCTCGGTCCCAGGTTTCATCGTTGGTCTCGCTCAGTTATAGGCCTTTTAAAGTGTAATGTTCACTCCTCATGGGTGAATGATACTTTTTTCTATGGAGGGGCTTGGATTCTACGGAATCATGTTGGTGATGTTTTTATTCACCAAGGGATGCTTTTTTACCATGCATCAACAGAATTGCAGCTGAACTTCAGTGTATTCTTTCGTGTCTCCAAAGTCTACACAACTTAAGGGTTACGACATGTGAGGTATGGTTGGATTGTCAAGCTGACAGCGGTGAATACTCCGGCAGCTTGGCCTAAATATAGATCTCTTTTGGAAAAGATTACTCAAGCAAGAAGGGTGATGCGGGATGTGTCTTTTCAGTTCTCTTCACCGAAAGCCAATGCGTTGGCTAAGTAGATTGCTTGTAGTGTTACCTAAAGAGGTTGTCTAACGTCTTATCTTCCTCTTGGATGCATGCACTACAAGAAATTTGGCCATTAATAGCATACTGAAAATGACACTGTATCGATTTGGTAGCGTTTTCATAAACGCTATGACTGGCCGTGCTATATAAGCTCCACCACCTATGATAGGGCCCTGTTTGTTTCTCCATTTTGCATCTCCATCCAAATGGTCAATTCAAATGGATTATCTGAATGATTCATTTGGATGTTAAATGATTAAACAAACAAAAAATAAAACTATTCATCTAGATGATCCATTTGGCTGGAGATGTGTTTGTTCCTCCATTTTGCATTTCCATCTAGGGCCCTGTTCGTTTCTCCATATTGCATCTCCATCCAAATGGATGAACCATCTCCATCTAGATGATCCATGAAACATGTATTTTTATACCCTTGGAGTTCAATTCCCCTTAGCGTTGCAACATAAGAGGTATCGATCCAGATGGATGAATTGCAAACAATTAAGATATAACAGATCTAATCAAGTCAAGCCAAGTAGTTCAGGGGTTGGTTTAATAAACTCAAAAGCGTAAAAGTAAACTAAAGAAGCAGAATTGAAAGCAGTAAATGAAACAGAGAATCAATCAGATAAACAAAAGGTCTTAAGGATGGGCTAATGGGGTGATGAATCCTCTTAGTATCTTTGGGATGCATAACATGCTCAGATAGATATAATTCTAGACAATGAACCACTTAACCTAATCAGTCCAATCTCTTGGCAAAGATTATCAGATCTATAGCACTTCCTAATCTCAACTTTCATTGATGAAACATACTATAAATAGGCATAAAGAACAAGATCATTAATGTCAATCTACTCCTTAACAACCAATCTCTTGGGTAAGTAAATAGATCTCTGGCATTAGTTGATCAGACATTCCATTTGAACACTTTTTGAGTGCTGGAATGTCTAAGATCTAATCGTGCATGGTTAATGCTAAGATAACATTAAGATCTCCTAATCCAGAAGGTATCTACCTAAATCCATACTTAAGAAACCCTAGAAACTAAGATTCCTCATCACCTAACCCATCCTATAAACCCTAGAAAGACTACTCAGATCTGGAGTTCATCATGAAGAACACAAACCCAGAAATCCTTGAATCTTTCATAACTAGATAGATAATGATCTAAGGAGCAAGATATTGTAAAGAAACAACTCCAAATTCTCAATAGATCAAAAGATATAAAGATTACAAGTTTCTGGAAATGTTTGGTGGCTACAGAGAAAAACCCTAATGAAAACTCGTTTTTGGCTTAATGACCTAAGAGGTCTATTTATACTAAAGGCAGGAAGCCCTAAAACACAAAAAGACAAATTACAAAGTCGGTTTAAGGTGAGCTCGGTCGGGTGCTTGTTGGGCTCGTTCGTGTCCTCCCTCGGCTCGTCCGTGTTCAGCTTCCTCTTGTGAGTCCGGGTGCTCGATCGTGCTCGCTTGGTCGGGTTGGATACACTCGGTCGGGTCCACGCTTTGCAGTGTCCGGGTGTACCTGTTTTTGCTCTAAAATGCAGATGATATGCAAATCCCTATGCTAAAGATCCTAGATGCGAAATATAATGCAAAGAGACTAGAAACTCTAAGAAGTAGAGACCTAGATATGCAAATAATGCACAAAACATATGCTTAAGAGTATAAAAATATAGGGTTATCAATCTAATTACACTCATCCAAATGACTTTCAAAAATTTGCCTAAAATTTAAAAACTCACCTAGATGGTTCATCTGGACGATTTTGAATAATGCTCATTTTTTAAGTTAAAACGAACGACATCCAAATGATTCATCTAGATGAATCATCTGGATGGAGAAACGAACAGTCCCTAGCACTTTTTTGAATGTTACGGAAGGTGAACCTATAATAGCAATAAGAATTTGCTATAGGATAAATTTTACTAACACTTGTTTTGCGTTATGATATACGTTTTTCTAGCTTTGTTCTTGCAATTTGCATATTTTATAATAACACTATTTTATTGCTGTCATATTGTGCACCTATTATGGTGATAATCAATTGTGGGACTAATAAAGATCTAAAGCAAACAAAAAAATCATACAATACCACTACTTTTTCCATTAAAGGTCCAAAGAATACAAAGTGACCACAAGCATACTTTTTCATGGTTCCTATTGCTTTGTGACAAATTCAAATCACATCACATTACACTCTTGCAGCTGAACATAGATCTCACCATCAGCAAAACGTTTTCTCAAGCTCCCGACCCAAGTAGCAAGAATAACCCGAAAACAAGAAAAACAGTGATTTCCTACGGCCAGTTGCGTGAAAAAATGGTAGGAAACAGCTGTTTCTTATCATATTCCTACAATTAAAATAGTAGGAAATCACCCGTAAGAAATAGCGTAAGAAATAGTAAATGGTAAGATATTGGTAGGAAATTTCCTACCAAAAACGCCTCGAATGAACTTTTGTAGGTATTTTGATAGGAAAGATGAAGGGTATTTCTGACCATTTTCCTTCCATTAATACATAGGAAACGTTTCCTTCTAAGTGATTTCCTTCTACTTTCGAAACCATTATTCATTCCAATTTCCTACGAATTATTTCAGTCTAGTTTTCTACAAATTTTCCTCCACCTTTCCTTCAAAGGTGACTTTCCCATATTCCTTCAAATGTTTTTGGTAGGAAATACTAAATATTCAAAAAATTACATAAATCCAGTTTTAAAGCGATTATAAATTTTAAATTGACAAAAAAAAATATTCAAAACGATAAAAATTCCTAGTAATTATTAATCCAAATAGGTATCTAAATGGTCCAGGAGGTATCTCTCTTTCTAGTTTCTGGTCTATCCCTGAAAAGGCAAGTAATACTTGGAATTGGAGACGCCTTCTTCGTCTTCGAACCTTAGCTGAAAGGTTTATAAGATGTGATGTTGGAAATGGGTTAACTGCGAGTTTTTGGCAGGACAACTGGACTCCATTTGGTCCTCTTCTGCTTTTTCTGGGAGAGGAGGGACCTAGGAGCCTAAGGATTCCACTCATCGCCAAGGTAGCTGACGTGGCTACAGGAAATATTTGGGCATTGCAGTCTCCAAGATCGCCTCAGGCGCTAGCTCTCCACGTCTTCTTGACTACTGTTACGCTCCCTCTTCATGCTCATCAAGAAGATTCTTATTGCTGGAAAGTTGAAAATGAGGTTTGTAATAATTACTCTTCTTCTAAGACTTGGCAAGTCTTAAGGCATAGAGAAGATGAAAAAATCTGGGCGGAGTCCGTTTGGTTTAAAGGAGCAACGCCTAGAAACTCTTTCAATATGTGGATCTCTCACTTGGACCGTTTGCCAACCAGATCGAGATTGATCTCATGGGGAATGCAGATTTCTCCACTTTGCTGCTTATGCTCCTCTGCAACAGAAACAAGAGATCACTTGTTCATGTTCTGTGGTTTCACCATGCCTATATGGACGTCAGCTCTAGCTCGGCTTCGCCTTCCTCCTGCACAATTCCAAAGCTGGGATGCTCTTATGTCTTGGACCAGAGTTTCAAGTCAAACTGCTCCATCAATGCTAAGGAAGCTCGTTACCCAGTCCATCATCTATGCCACATGGAAACAAAGAAACAATGCCTTGCATAACTCTTTGTTCTTCCCACCTGCTTCTATCTTTAAGAGTATAGATAGGGAAATCATAAACTCTATCAATGCTCGCAGGCATCGAAAGAATTTTCAAAAGCTAATGAGCTTCTGGATTTCTTAATCTTTTTGAGTTAGCAAATTTTACTTCCTTGTTTTTTACCTTTTTTTGCCAAGGAATTAAGTTGTATAGGTAATCAAAATGTAATCCCTATCTTTTCATTGATATGATATTTACTCATTTAGCAAAAAAAAAAAAAAAAAAAAAAAATTATTAATCCAAATAGTAATCTATATATATAAAGTTAACTTTTCTCTCTCTTCTCCTTAAGCCACATCATCATCCACCTCATTTTATTATTTAATTTTTAAAATTAATTATACCATTTTATCATTTAATTTTAATATTTAAATCTATGTAAATAATTTTTTCAAAAATGAATATGAAAGGTCTTTTTTATATTATACATTATAAAACGAAAAAATATAATTGATTAAAAGTTAAAAAAAACTTACTAATTATCGATTATACTAACAAATATATAAATAATAGATTATAGTTTTTAGTGAATTTTTAAAATATATATATGATTATATTTACACAATGTAAACCTAAATATAATGGGATTTAACGGGAATAGAGCAAAAAGTAAGAAATTTTGAAAATATAAATCTATCTAATTTATGTCTCAAAATTTTTTAACATAAATGAGATAGGTCGGACCGAAACATGAATTCTCATTTTTTATAAACATATAAAAAGGTAAAAATAAAAACAATATTTCTTTAAAAGTTTCCAATATGAATTTAATTATTTTTTCCCAATACAACACATATGTTAAACTAATAAACAATATAAAAAATTAACTATATTTCTTAAAATCAAAAATTAAAATAAAAAACATTATTAAATGAAATAAACTAAATATAAAGTAAATTATACTAATATGTTAAATTTAAAAATTGTTCCGTATGAAAAAAACAAAAAAAAAATATAAAACATAAAATCAGAAAAAAATATAATAGTATATAAATGATCATTACGAGATATAAAGTACGACAAATCCAAAAAAGGAAAACTTAAAAAATAAAATAATAAATTATGACAATATATAAAGAGATAATGTAAACATTTAAAAATATAACAATCCGCCCGAAACCCACAAATCATGTTCAAATTTCATGCCAACATATAAAAGGGCCCAAAATATTAACATCTAGATCTATATTTGGTAAAAACCCTAATAGCACACGTTTCTCAATGATTCTCAACCGCACTTCCATTTACGCCCACACTTCGACTTATACTATACACACTTAATTTCTCAACAACTAATGAAGCTAAAATTCAATAGTTTTTCTATACAAACACAATTTAAGTTTTAAAAAGTAAAGTATGGTATAGTGAAAAAAATAAGTAGAAAACAAAATACGAACTAATTACTCATAAACAACATAATAAACTCCCGCGCGTAGCGCGGGCAACCGACTAGTATATTATAAAGAAAGGTCTTTAAGTAATACAAACAACTAAAAAGTTTATAAGTTATGAAATATCACTCTTATGTCTCATAATCATCTTCATCTTCTCCTCTAAGGACTCCCCCGTCAACATTAGCAGCTTCTCCATCTCCTATTTCCACTTCTCCGCCACAACCATCGTGTTATACTTGAAGTTACAACCTGAAAGTTGGGTTAAATGGAACTATGAAAAAACCAGCAAAGGAAGGTTTCAGAAAATGTACTAAAATTCAAATCTTGAAAGTGATGATTTAAAACTTGAAAGAAAACAACTTACTCGAACCTTCTGCCCAATAAACAATTTTCTAGCATTCAACTGTTTTGATGGCATGACATTGAGGGCAGCCCGCAACGAGTAGCTGTGATTTAAAACAATGAAATCCTGTGGAAAGGAGACAAGAAAATAGGTAACAAAACAACAATAGCAATTTCAGTAGTGAGTTCTACTTTCACATTGCTACAATAATCACAATCATGTGTGTCCAGACTATCCACTTGTAGTGATTAGTAACCCAGCTAGTTCATATATAGTGAAAGATAGTTAATAGATATAGAATTATTGTTCACTGTCTATCTTAAAAGAGAAAACAAGCAGTATTACTTTGTCGAAGCATGTTGTAAGGAAGGAATAGACTGAGCCAACATAGAAACGTTTCAGCTCCAACCATGTTTGAGGAAAACTAATCACAGAATACATATTTATTTCAATTACTTGATTTGATTCGTCTGACATGGTATGGCACCTAATCCATCTAAATTCATATAGTAGTGTGTTTCAGTGAATGAAATCAAAAACAAAATCAATCTAACCCAAATCGGTTTTCAACGGCTTACAAATCTAGCGAATCCTAACAAAATTTCATTGGAAGAAGAAAATTTAACTAAGGTTCCAGAAGCAGTAAAAAACATCTCAGATTAGTTAATGAATCAAAGACAAGATACGAACCTTTTGGATAAAGAATTATCAGAACCGTGTAGAGCTTTCTCCTTCGACACAAGTCCGAGACAAGTCATCGAGACGTCCACAAAAAGAAACACAACCACGAAAACCGACCTCGAGCCTTACTACACCTCATTACATAATCCTTTCAAATATTAGGCGTACATCAAAACAGAGCACCGGGTTCCTTGTCCCGAACAAGTTGGTCTTCATTGTCTCCCACCCTTTAAATTTCATTGATGAACCAAAGAAAGGTTTTTCTTAGGCTGCAAATGGATGACACAAAATAATGAGTTGAAGAGGTTGAACTTACGTTTCAACTTTTTTCATCCAAAAATTTACCATTTAACATAAAAAAATTTCCAACAAGATTTTCTTGGGACCCACTTAAAAATTGGAAAATTGCACTTTTTGGTTAAAATAGGTTCAACCTCATTTTAGGAGATGAACAAGCGGAACGATATGAAAACTCAAATCTAGTTTTTTTCTTTTTTTAATATTAATTTTAAATTTTGAATTAATATATTTACAAGTATTTGTTTGACTAACGATTTTGACGTAAAGAAAATTGCTATTCGGAAAAATTATTGTAATTACTGTAGTTTAACATTAATATTATTTTGTTGAGAGAATCTTGGCAAATCAAGTACGTATGTTAACTCTAAAGATATTCAAGTACGTAAAATAAGTTCAGAACTGTTGATACCACTCCCTATAATCTGCACTAATAGCGTGAGAACAGAAGAACCATATCTACCCAGAAATAATTATCAGCTAAACACTTTTCACATTTTTTTCTAAACAACAATTGTATCATTTTAACAAAACATTAAATGGTATCATTTTAACAAAACATTAAATGGTTAGTGGTTATTGGGTTGTATAGTTCATCAATGGTTTCGTATGTCATTGAGAAAATCAAGCATATTTTAACATCGATAAAACACTTAAATATTAGTAGCTTGCTTCCTAAATTCATTCGATTTTAATTTTGCATATGATTTATTCATTTTACTTATGTTTTTTTAATGGTGTTTTCTTTCACACTAGAAACAAGCGTAACAAAAATCGAAACAGTGGTCCAGCATCAAGTTCTAACAATCAAAGGGAAAAGCTAAAGCTACTGAGGACCCTAATGTATTATATCGTATCATATTTGTTTTTTAAAACCATATATTTCTTTGGCTTATACACTTTATATATAGTATGTCTAGAGTCCTAGATATACCAAAATATTTCTCAAACCTGTGAACGTCGAGTTAAAATCAAAAGTTTATGTCACAAGAGTACCTGAAAATTCGGGGAAAGCAAAAATTTTGGAATTTTTTTTTGAATTGACAGGAGTTAGGTTGACTTGGAATCAAGAGATGAAAAATCGACTCGACTACATGCGTAATTTGTAGCAATGTAACAGTATACTATGTAAACGCACTGGTATCGCGGTTAATATCATAACGGGGAAGATAGATATGCCCGAGCTTTGGTGGCAAGAAAGAATTCAGGTGAGTTTAATACATATTAACTTATATTTATGTACATATATTTAAATATTTTTTTACCACTATTTTTAGGAATTCGAGAAAAATGGGAAGTACGTACGAGTGTTGCAAAACAGGCCTATTCCGTACAAAGAAATACTTGATCAAATTTATAGTCAACATGATGTTAAGCAAGATGATGAGCAACTTGATCACCGCACACTCTACGCACACACCTCAAACAAAGTTAAAATGAAGGACCAAGCGGTGATGAGATAGACGTTGATGAAGCTTCGGATGATAATGGGATTCAATTTCCATTAGAGCTAGCTAACATCTGATGAGGAAATTCCACGAGCTGGTTCATTACCAATACCCTCTAATGAACAAACACGGAGTTCACCTTTCCGTAAAAATAAGGGAAGCTTGGGAGTTCGGAAGACCACTACAAGACGTACAAATTGAAGAAGAATCAACTTTGAGTCTCAAGTGGAAACAGGATTTCCACGTATTGAAGAGTCTCATACAGGCTTATTGGATGTAGAGTGAATTACACAATAACCTACTTTTTGTGAATTTGTTTACAAGAAAACACACTTTTAAGGGAAGGTGTACTTATTCCCTTCTTTTGTATTGAGGTGTCATTTTTTTAGACGAAAATACCCTTTTACTTGTTTTTTTTCTTCTACGAACTTTCTCTTCTTCTTTCATTTCTTTCTTTTTCTTGTACTATTTTTTTGTTGTTATCATTTTAGAGTATCATTTTATGTATTTATTATCAAAAATTATCTATTTATTTTTATATAATAAGTTGTGATTATATTTTCTTTACATTTTAAGATGCATATTGCTATATTTTTGATAATTTTTATATTATACACTATCCATTTGTAGTTGGACATTTGTCCATTGATACATGGATAGTCAATTGCACTATAATTTATAAATATTTACTAGGTTTAATCATATAAGTAAGTTATGTAATTAATTGATATTATACACTATCCATTTGTAGTTGAACATGTGTTCAATGATAAGTGGATGATCAGTCATAGTATTGTTTATGTTTTATTCTATTTGTATTTATAATTACTATGTGTTTAATAATATAAAAACATATTAAAACCTGTTTCATGAAAAATTTGTGATTTGGTAAAAAAATCATAAATAAGTATCAAACAAACA